TTATATCCAATGGTTTTATAGAGTGTCTCATCCTTACATGACACCAGAATCAAAAGGAGATTTCACTAGGCCAACTCATCAAGAGTTAATAGAAGAAGAACAGACAATGGTGAACTATGTCATGGATATATTGTCTATACGCCATAGTGTTGTTGAGATTGGGAGAGAGGTCATAGCTAGAAGAGAGTTTTAGGAATGTACTCCTGAAATGGTCATTTTACAGACTATCTTAGAGACACGGAATGCATTGCAGTCTAGGAGGCAGAGAGAGAACATGAGTGTTAAATATACCTAGTAGTTGTATTTTTATTTGTATTTTGATGTAAATTTTTTGAAAATGTGTAAGGTTAATTGTATTTTATGAATGATTGTCATATGGTTTACAAATGATTTGTGAAAAAATGATCTTAGTTATGATTGACTTATGTGTATGGTTTATTATGTGAATAATGAATGGTTTTCAAATGATATGAAAATTTCTTCCTAGTTACTGTCAAGAGGTTTGTTCGAATATTAAAATCTAAATCCACCCTATTGTTATGAATAAATAGCAAGCATATTTGTTCTAGGGGTTTGTCGGAATTCTCATCATTGTTATGAAATAAAGACTGTGTAATGCATAAAATACTGATTAGAGATTTGTTCAGATATTGAAATTCATATTCACCTCTTTGTTTAACACACAAACAAAACGACAATATTGTTCCAAAAAATATTCAGAAAATTGAAATTCAGATACATTTTTTACTTAGATGGAGATGCGTTTCTGATGAAAACAATTTTTATACAATTGATACGTCATAATTTTAATATTCAAATGGTGCAAATTAGCATTTTTAGATTTTCATATGATTAATGAAGACCTGATAGAATGGAATGAACACTATCCAAACATAATTGCTTCTTTTGTCACGACTTAAACTTCTCCAAAAACCCTTTTGAATTCTAAACACTACAAAATAACTATGGGTTTTAGAATTTGAACACTCCATTTTTTTTTTCAGTTATCTACAGCAAATTACAGTTACTCATGAAAAGTCATGGATAAATGAGAAGAGGGAAATTATGAGTATTATAATTCTAAAGTCCGGAACGTATTTTTAGTGGTTGGATTTTAAAATACGAAACGAATTGCTAGAGAAATGTAATGGGTGAGAAAATAAACTCACAAAGAAGATGGTTGCGATCAAAGTGAAAACAGCATAATATTTCAATAATAAATTCAACGATCTAACTTCTTAGAAATATATTTGTTGTATCTACAACTTCTATGCCTAGTTAATATGTCACTCATCGTATGAATATCCCACATACGACATTATCCATCATTTGGGAGAGAGCACTGACTCTATCGATAGAGTAAATGCCTCCCCTTTGGTTACTCGAAGAAGACAAAGAAAACTTCATTAAAGTGGTACAAAATACACAAAAGCTCCATCAATTTGATGACTCAAGTTTATAACGTAAATCCAAGAAAAAGGGGGGTGTTAGTAGGAATAGGGCTCGAATAAAGAGCAGTAAAAAAGTGCATAGAGTAATTTACGATGTATACAAATAGTTATTGAAATAGTTTAAATGGCCATCTTAAAATATAACATTTATTTTCCTGAAGATAGAAATCAAAGACTCAGAAATTAGGAATGAAATAAGATGAGAAAAGAGCATGGCACTAATTGATCAAACTAGAAGCATGCAGGTTGAGAGTCTGCCCCATTTGTTTTTCTACTGCTGAGAGGATAACTTAATTACTTAATCATGTAAACAGCTTATTCTAGCTCCTTGTTGAAACAAATCGCTTATAACTTCTATGGATCAGAAATGCTCCCTAGACCTGTAGTGGCAAGTTTGTTGACAAGAGCAAGAGTATTACTGGTTACATAATAAACTTTGCGAACCTTGTTTTGCAGCGATTTAGTTTTCCTATCATTTTCGCCTTGAAACCCATCAAGGCAAGTATCTTCATTTGTAAGTGCTGCACTTATCCATGTATTAAGGTCCCCCATCTGGGTACTAAATGTGTTTCTGCTAAGCCTTCTGAGCACATTCAGTGACCTATGAAGATCGTCAATGGCATCTGCAAAAGTCTCAACACAATCTAAAAGTGCAACTTTGTTTCTTCCTCTTAAATGCTCGCGCCTCTTGAAGCTTGACAGATATGCTTGAACATTCTTAGCCTCTGCAATAGTAACCGACACTCCTGCCCTTGCCCACTTACTAGGGCTTCTTCCAGCACTGTTAGAGAACGGTGCTAGCGAGCGCATGCAAAGTTTTTGATACCTAGTTACTTTGCAAGCTTCTTTGACATTGTCAGTCCCTTTTGCAAATGCCAATTGGCTAGTATTTGCAAGGAATGAAAGAAATAAAAATGCAAGCAGTAAGATAAGGTATGACATTTTTCTGACCATTTTGGTTAAAGACCAAAGAAGTTGAACTTGAAGCAAGATGAAACAAAGTAGTAGTTTGGCACTTATCAGTACAAAAATAGAATGGAAAAGATAGGAATGACCTTTAGAGTTCTTATAGTTGAATTAGTGAACTGTATGACTAGTATTGAGAATGGTAGATTCCTTCAAACTTTCAAAGCATACTGTTCCTGCCATGTCTTACTTTACTGCACCTTTTGAGGTAGGTTGTTACATAGGCAAGAGACAAGTGAGTTCAACTAAAAAAGGTATATGGACAGTGACATGAAATAGAAGGGAAAAGTAAGTAACATGTGATTGGAAGGTGAGGTTCTCTTTATAATCTTGGATAAAAACAAGATGCGTCATTTTTTTAGTATTGTGAGTGCTTCTGCACAGCTCATTTGCATGAGAGATAATTTAATATTGCAATAATAAATCTCACCAGTCTGCTAACGAAAAATCATAAAAACCACAAACTGTGTTGATACACATTAAAAGGCATCACAGGTAAACGGTGCAGTATAAAGGGTTAATAACAAAACTTTTCTTTCTATATGTTAGTTTGATGACAAATGCACAACATAAATATTTTATTTTATAGAATATTGAGTTGAGTTATAAATAATTGTGTAGCCAGTTAACCAAATGCGAATGAAAATATAGTCATGATAAGAGCATATAAAAAGAAGACGAAGCTTAAGCAGCCGAATCTGGTCTTCGATCTTACTAGCAGATAAAGTTCATGTTGGTTTAAAATACATGAGGTCTTTTTCATGCTTGTATCTTTTCCACAGAATTAAAAATGGGGATAATTTGTTTATTAGTATTTGCCTGACTTAAGCCAAAAATTAGACTCTACGATAAGTCAGATATAGATAAATATAAGGTGGTAATGATGTTCATTTAATGTCATTAAAATAGAGGGGATATTTGGTTCATCAATAGTTACCGACATGATTTCATTCCAACTGTCCTACTCTGCATCTCAACTCGGTTCAGTGTGACTTTTTTCTGACAGAAATTTCAATCTGGCAAAGCCAATTTACCCTTTGCCATTTCACACTATTTTGAACAAGTAATAAACTATGAAATGCTACAGCTTAAGTGGCTACTTCATCCTATGTTTATTCTTAGCGGTATTAAAGAGCTTCCATGCAAAACTTATAGCAAAAACCGTGGATTACAAATCTTCACCAACTGCAATAGCAACATTTTTTTATCTTTTATGCAAATGATCGGCAACCTTGTAAACAAGCACCAAACAGTTAGTCATATGGCATGTGTAGTTTGTACAGCTTGGGCATGTGAGTATTCCGCTTTCTGCAGTTTCTTATGAGAGGGTGGGTTGTAGGTTCATAAACTAAAATGGAAACTCTGCTTATGAAATGAGGGTTTTTTTCTAACAAAAGCAAACTTAATTTCATCAATATTTTAGGGTCGATGCAACTAGAAAAAATAAGTGGGGACTAGCTAAAGAAGTGGACTTTCAAACAAGAGTATGATCAAGCACATTTGTTTGTCTTGTTTCTAAATAAACTTCACTCAATAGCTTGGTGATAACAAGAATAACTTCTTACACGGATGAGCAACTGCATCATACTCTATTTCTCGTATATCTTATAATATAATCTCCAAAGCAACATCGATAATTATTTAGCAATGCTGCAAAAGTATAGTTCTAGGTAATATATAACTCCCAAACTCGAACGTGAGTGCCACATAGGCACCATTGTGTATTGGTTGTTCCAAAAATTCAATTGTGTAAGCCTGTCAATAATTATAATGATATCTATTAGCTATACATTGTTATCAAGTGCAAATTGAAATTAGTGTTTACAATGATCGAGGAGTGGTCAACAATTATATGTTTTATTAGAGTAGGGGTGGTAGTTCAACTTGTTTGAACTAATTGAGCTAAGCGTTAAAGGAGTTGGAGGTCATGGGTTCAATCTCTGGCAAAGGAGAAAATAAAACACCAACTACTAACAGTTTACCATTCAAAAAAGTTATATGTTTTATCTTCACAACTGCACCTTGAAGCTTTATGACAAGCCAACCAGGGGAGGGGAAGTGTAAATAAGCCCTTAAAATTGAAAGGTTTAAACATCCTTGCAGTTCTCACCCACTTCAATTTTAGTACTTCTAGTGTTTTTTCGATTTTACTATTATGTTAAATGTATGATTACCAATATCTGCTCCCATTTTCGTTTCGGCTCCTCGTAATTAAGATATGAATCCTCATATTTCACACATTAGGGTTTAATCTTTGTATTGTAAGTCAATACTTTTTCACGACATGCTGGTCCTCGTGACAAAACTATAACGATGACAAACTATGTGTGTCTCTACTAGTGTGGGAATCAAAACCCAAATGAGTATAAAATATAGGAATTTCAGATGAAACAGGTTAATAAAGAGGCGGGCTACATTGCACAATCTTACAACACATTACAAGGTAGACAAAAACTACCATAAAAAGAAATCTAAGCAAAATTTTCAATCAGTCCAAGCACTAGAAACATTACTTATTGCTCCTACCAAAAATAAACAATTGGGAAGAGAAAACATTCCGTTCTAACCTCCTCACTTAAGTCTTTATCCTGACTTCTGAATAATTTCTTCTGAAGGAATTTCAAGGGTCGCTCCTGCATGCTCTTTACCAGGCTTCACTACTGCAACAAGAAGTTTGTAGAAACTTGTTAAGAAAAAGTTTTAAGTGATTTTTTTTTTATAATAATAACAATAATAATATTATAGTGATTAGCTTCTCTAATAAATTGAAATCAAAGTTTGCCCCACAATATTTTCAGAAAATTACTCCTTTAGCTTCTCTATAAACATTCACGAATTTATAAGAACTTTTTATGAGTTACAAGTTACAACTAAGAGCTAGATAGATAAACTTCTCAACAAACACTTATGGAGAAAGAGATATTAAAAGAACCTTGTAATAATTATGAGTTTGGAAACAAAAAACCTATTGTATATGTTAAAATTAGCTTTTGTATCATCTTTATTTTCTTTTAGAAACTCTCTAATTTCTCTATAACATTTATAATCCTATGAGGATCTTTTTGTACAAGTGAATAACTATTAACCCATTCAATGAACAAGCTCTGATAAGTTAGAAGCTAATCCAAACTTGCCCTAAGAGCCCGTTTGGATAAACTTCTCCGGAAGTACTTATAGAAAGGGAAATATAATTTTTAACACTATAGCTACTCCTATAAGAGTATAAGTTGAAATAAAGCTTCTCTATCTCAATTAAGCTTATTCATTTTAGTTCTCCCTAAACATCTATAGGTTGTTAAAGATTTTTTTCTAAGAACCGTAAACTTATTTCACTAGAGAAGGTCTCATCATAAACTTAAGGCTTTGTTTGGATTGATGAAATCGAATGGAACGGAGCGGTATGAGATGGAATAGGATGGTATTTCATTGTTTGGATCATTTAAAAGCAGATGAAGCGGAGCGGAATGGAGTGGTATGGATTCCATTCTATTTCATCACTTACCATCATATTTCTGTCCCTCCGATTTGAGCGGAATGAAGAACTTTCCTTGTTACGATGGAATGGAATCTTCACTCCGCTCTGTTCCATTCTACTACATTTCACTCCGCTCGGTTTCATTTCGCTCGTATACACTCTACTACATTTCACTCTGCTATGTTTCATTCCGCTCCGTTACATTTTATGATATCCAACCTTAGCCTACATTTCACTCCGCTCGGTTTCATTTCGCTCGTATACACTCTACTACATTTCACTCTGCTATGTTTCATTCCGCTCCGTTACATTTTATGATATCCAACCTTAGCCTAAAGTAACCCAACTAAATCATAAATAGTTCCTACAGTTGAAAGTTCTCATATTGAATAAAGTTCATTGCCACTCCAGAACAATAAAAAGTAGAAAGAAGAAGCCCAAACTATCAATGCATAGAATTACAAGAGGTTCTAATTTTAATTTTCATAAACATTTCAATTTTCATAAACTACAAAGAGCTAATGCTGATTCATAAATGAGTACTGATGAGAAGGGGAACAAAAAAAAACCAAGAGAAACAAATTAGCAAACAGGTGGAGTGCTGAACAAGAGAGAGGAAAAGAAACCGCACCGTAACTGCCTGCGTCAGGATTGAGTTTTGCCTGGACGATCATGTTAGTGATGAAATCGGAGGCCTCGTTGGCCTCTGCTAGAAGCTTCTGGATCTCCGCTTCGGAGGTGACATTCTTGTTTTCCTCGAACTGCTTCCGCACTTCCGCCGCAGATCCTTTCAGCATCTGACTGTCGCCGGCGAATGATTTTCGAGTGGCTTTCAACACCGCCCGGTACGCGCTCAGAACCTCCACTCTCCGCATATTTTGCGCTGGTGAAATCTTTTTCTTCTTCGTTTCGTTCCCTATTACCGGAAGCCTAATGCTGCTCATATACGACGTCGTAATGTTTCAGTATACGACTTTTTTTAAAATATTTCTTTTTCCTAAAAAAAAAAACAATTTCTTAAATATATTTTGGGATTACTTTTTACCATTTTCGGATGTGTTCCTCCACTAATGTTAAAAGTCTCAACTATTCACACTGTTCGAAAATAACTTTGTACATATTATTTTTAAAGTCATTCTTCAAATCAAATTGATGAGGCATTTTATTATATCAAAATTTAATTTGAAAATGTATCTTTTTTATGTATAAAAAGTGAGTTCGAAAATGCATTTTCATAAAAAAAATTCAAACAATACTATTAAAGTTAAGGACAGAGCCATGTGCAAAAATGTAAATAGATATTCATGGGAGCGGATATTATAATATTTGTATGCGTCATGTTGGATAAATATGATATTCATATCCGCCTCATATACATGCGGGTATCCATTAAGCAGGTAGTACGTGGGATTTAGGGTATCCATGGATATTTATAGATATTCATGGATAATATTTCTTTTATAAATTTTTTTTTTTGAAAAAATTATTTTTAACTTCTTTCAAAAACATAAAAAATAATTATCACATGAAATCCGTACAATTCGCTCTTAATTTAACAATAAAATTTCATCGTGTTAATTTTCTTCTTATTCACCAAAACATAATTAGATCCAAACATAACATTCATACTTTTTTTAAAAAAACAAATAAAAGATATTGTGATTGTGAGTTATGATGGAAGAGCAAACGGCAGAGGAGTAGGAAGGGAGACACTAGTTTGACAGAGAAGTGACAACACTGTGAAATTGTTGAACTGAGGTATGAAGTATTGAAGAGTTTAAATATGAAATATGTAATAGAATTGAATGAAATTTGAAAAGTTTTCTTTCAAAAAAATTTCACAAAAAAAAAAAGAAATATAGGAAGACTAATTTTTTTAGAAGATGAAAAGATAAGGTATAATAAACTAATGTTATTTAAATTATTTTTATAATTTATTAACAGATATGGATATCCGCGGGCACGGATATCATTGAACTTGTATCCATATCCATTAACAAACGGGTATTTAAATATCCATTTATTCTATCCGTGGATATCCATTAAATTATCCGTCCTATATCTGTGACGGATTTTATCTGCAGATATCTACGAGCACAGTTTTTTTGTCATCCCTAACCATGTGTGGGCTAGGATCCTATCTTTTAATGTGTGTTCATGATTAGTATGTTGGGGAGTTCGAGAGAGTCGAGAGTACCAAGGACTAATGCTCTAGGACCACAAGTGAGGGAGATGTCACATCTCAACTTAAGGTATTGGGTAAGTGGTAGGGGTGGAAATAGGTCAGACCGATAATAGGGGCCTACAGGCTAACCTACATAGACTTTGGGGAGACTAAGATTTTTTTTAAAATAAAAAAGGCCTATACTTTTTTATAAGTCTATTTAGTTAAAAAGGGTAGGCCTCAGTCCATAAAAAAAAGCCTTTTAAACCTAACAGATCAACCTATTTGAATAAAGCTTTGGTAAAGTCTAACTCGGCCCAAGCTATTTCCACCCCCTAATAAATGAGTTATCTCTTATAAATCCAATATTTCACCCTATTTATAAGCAATATGAGACTTTAATCACTCATGCACCCAACATTATCCTTCACAAGTGTGGGTCTCCTACACCTTATAACAAGATTCAACATCGGATCCAACTCTCGTTTTACCACAAAGTCTAATCACAGCTCTAATACCATGTTGGGGCTATAATTCGAGGATCTAACAAATGAGAGCATTTTTACACTTTAAGGGTTTTTCTTTAAAAGCAACACACATTTGTGAGAGACACATTATATACTCATTCAAAATCTTTAAGATTTTAGGTAAATGAGTCATCTCTCTTATAAATCTAATATTTCATCCATTCATATTGATACATATAAATCAAAAAAATTTGATGTACATGTTATTTTTATATTGAAGATAAGTTTGATTAATAAAATAAAGATTGCCACATATTCCAATGAGCTTAAGTATTAGGACCATTTTTAACATCTTTTATTGTTTGTAGTTTTTTAATAATAATAATAATAATAATAATAATAATAATAATAATAATAATAATAATAATAATAATAATAATAATAATAATAATAATAATAATAATAATAATAATAATAATAATAATAATAATAATAGTGTTTTATAGTAAAATTTAAAAATTTAGAATTATAGAACTTATCAATCTTTTTATAAAGTTTATAGTTAATAAAATAAATAGTTTGATAAATAATATAATTTTATTATTAAATATAATTATTTCATAGAAAATCATACGAAACTAAAATTGAATGCATAAACTTAAATAGAAAAAAATGATTATATAAATTTTTCCCTTATTAAAAGATTATGGCTTTGTCACTGATTTGAGCTCTCACAATCCATTCAAGCTTTACATCTATTGAAACTAATATCATTGTAGCTCTTTCTCATCCTTTCAAGCATATCATGTATTCAAGCTTCTCTTTCTCATCCATTTGATTTGGTAAATTTTTTTAAAAAAATTCTTGTTTTATGTTTTGATTAATAGTTAGATATTTAAGCCACATTAGTTGTTTAAGGTACATTATATACTAGTGGAAATGAAATAGATAGACTACAAGGACATGCATTTATATTTGTTTGGAAAGTTAGGGCATCAATGGCGTTTCTACCATGGCTGAGAAAATTGCAGCTTTTAACTTCTTCATATTTTCACCTTTCTATGGCCGAGAAGACCATCACCCTGGATGATGTCTCATGCCTCCTGTATCTTCTCATCATGAAAAATTATTAGGCCATAGAAGGCTCGATCGAGAGAAAGTCGTTGAGATGATAATCATCCATATGGCAGCTGACCCAACTAAGGCCATAAATTAGGTAACTGACACCAGAGTGCTCGTTCTAGATTTAATTTTTTGGAACAGCTTTATAAAGAGCATATGTAGTAGGCTGACAATGTCGAAAGTGATGATCTGCAGGTTGATTACCATTGGTAATGTGCATTGAGGTGTTACCTCTTGTTCTTGGTTGACACGTTCATTCTTGATTGACTAGCAACGACAAGTTAAATACCATCAACAGTGCCTACTTACACTGAGGATTGGCCATGTGTTGTCGATTTTGCGTCGTACAGAGGGTATAATGTGATCGAGCCATTTTGGGTGTATTTTGATCGTACTCTAGCTGATGATATTGTTTTTTGCCCATACACTGTGAGACCCGTATGTTGAACATCAGTTTCTTATACTCTGGATGGTTGGCATGTGGGTAAGCTCTGATGTATCCTTAACTTCCTGACCGAGTGATGTGCCAGTTTGACTTTTTGTAGATTTTCTGAGACCCCCTCCTATTTAGAGTCAATCCCTTCCATCGTCCGCCGCAAAGATCTCGATGTGATACTTGACAATTTCAAGAATCATCTGGTACCAGAGGAGTATCACAAGGTATTAGCTTTTGTACATTGGAAGACGACTACATAACATAATTTTATAGGGTGTCGCACTTTATCATGCCACCAGACGCTCCAAGAAGACCACCTACGCGAGCTAATCAGTAAGTACTTAAGGATAGGAATGACCACACTAAGGACGTATCGACGGTTTGTCGGCGTATTGTGGATATGGGAGATTAGGTATAGAGGCAGGATGATAACTTATGTTTTGTGTTATTATAAACCTTAGCACTTGAATTTATCCTTTTTATTTAGTTGTTTGCTAGTTTAATGTACTACATTTTACTATTTTAAGTAGATTATTAAAAGCATAATAGCTGCTCTTGTTTGTTAGTTTTCACATTTGTTGTTTATGTAGAGTCAATTTCTGATGAGTCCTGACAGATAGTTTTGGAACAGCAAGTTAACCCCAACATTGAGAAGAGAGCAGGATGTGATAAAGGATGCAATGCAAGTTAAAAAGAGACGTCATTCATTTTTCTAGGGTATATGTGGCAACTATCTGCAGAATGGAAGACATTTGAATCAAACATGCAAAGTGATAAGATCAAGGGGCTAGACGACAAAACTCTAAACCATAGTGTCGTGGCGCAAAAAATACTCGAGCGAACGAATACTCGAATGACAATGAATTCACCACCGAAATTTATTTTAAAAGGAGAAACGTTGATAAAACCCTAAAAGAACAAAAATATGATCATTACAACCAAATTCCGGTTCAAGAGTCTGTTATACACGAAGAAGATATTAGCACCCCACACATCTGTTGTGCTCAACGGAAACCGTGTAATTAGTTTTGTGAATGAGTGTTAACTTTAAAATGTTTGAGTTTCTTCTTATTATTAAAAGAATTTACATGGGAAAAAAAAGGACTAAAAAAAGATATTTTTTATTAGGGTGTTTGATAAGACGTTGATTCTCGCTCCTGCATATCTCCAGGTGCGATGTAGAATTTAAAGCTACGTAGTCCTGGATTGCAATGTTTGTGGGCTGGTTGTTTTTAGTGAAAGATTTTTATATAGCATTCGAGCGGTTAAATATTGATTGCTCGTCGTGCATGGGTGGAATGAAGTGTTGTTTGTTTGTCGCGTCGTAATGGATAAAACATTGTTCGTTTATGAAAAGATTTTTACACCACACTAAGGCGAAAAAATATGTTTGATTGGTAGAAGTTGTTTTCGGAAGACGAATAATTGGCCTAAACAAGGTGTACACCGAATTTTCGATTATTCGAGGATAAAAAGTGTGCACTCAATTTTCTTCTTTTAATTCATTTATTTATTAAAATCATATTTGTGGAAGACAAGCAATCGATTTAGACAAAGTATGCACCTTATGTTCGACTACTCAAGGATAAAAGAGTGTGCACTCAATTTTTCCTTTTTTAATCAGAGTTTGATTATATATTTTTGACGAAAGAAGAATAACTGGTTTGAACATGATGTACGTCGAGT